TACAAATCGGTTTGTTTCCAGCATCACGGAGTCCTCCTGGAAAAACAGCGCACAACGGCCATGTTTTTTTTCCTTCACTAATTTTGGTCTGTACACCATGACGATAGCAGCTTGTCTTCAAATTTCAGACATTCAGTTTTGCTACTTCTTTAATCTATTCACGGACTGAACAGAAAAATGTGACTTTTTTGAAGACCTTACTCACTTACCGATTTCAGTTTCAATTTGATAACTAGCTACGTTGTTTCGCTTTTTTTATGATCAAGATTTAAGTCTTTCTTCAATTCTGCTTAAAGGTGAACAATTCAAATTGAGAATTGCTTCTCAGTGGCGAAGCGCTACCATACCACTAACAAACAGAAGTTGCTGAAGCTGCAGAGCGTTCGATTTTACAATTAAGAGGCTCTGAATTCGAGGTTCGGTAAGGTTACTCGCCTTTCTTATTTCTGAGGTATGTAAATAAACACACTTTGCGAAATAGGAAAGGGAAACAAAACGCCTACATGCTGTGCATAACGCATGGCTATCCACATCGCTTTTAAAATAAGGTATTCTTATCTGATGGAATTAAAACTGAGTTAGCGACGTACCATGAGCTGCTTGAAATGTAAGGGGTCTGAAATGACTCCAATGATGGAAATGTGTCGGAGATGTACATCCCAACGTTGAACAACATTCTCTTTTCCTTTTCATTTAGGTTGGCCTCTTTGCTGTGTCACTTTCTCATGCCAGTGAAGACAGTTGTCACTGCCATAGCATATTCCAATAGCATGAATTTGCTACTTTTTGAGCTTTAGATTTACGTTAAAAGCGGCTTCCGTCTTAGCGCTAAATCCGGTAGATATGCGTCGAGAGATCATGGGTTCGAATAAGAGTCGGATGAGCAAGTACCACAGTGTAAGCAGAAAAAAAGCAAAGCTCCTGCTTGTCAAAGATTTGTATATTTTTAATTCACAAAAAGATACTCTAACTGATGACATCGAAATGGAGATGAGCACCGGACAACCCGATCTACAAAATCTGGTATAAAAGTCACCTCCTCTCGTGGAAACGTAAGGATGACAAGCGTTTGAGCGGTTAATTCTTCTGATTCGCTTCCTCTTCTGTTGACATTGTTGTCAGACAATTTGTAGAAGATTTCGCTAAGAAGCTCACTACTAGAGCAAGATCATAAAACAGTTTTGTTTCTTGGCAAAATTATCTCTCTCTCTCTCTCTCTCAATATAGCATCTGCGAAGAGAAAGGCGCTTTCTTAGCGGTCTTCGGCTATACGGGAGAGAGATTATTATTTGCTTAACTTAGTTTGTCAAGCTGTTATTTTAGTACTTTTTGGGAGTCATTTCGGGTATCTTTTTTAGATTATTTCCTGCACAAACATTTATGCAATGTGGCTAGACCTCAACTGAAGTTCAAAGAAATACATATTTAGCATCTGGCGGTTGTCAGCAGTAGTTCTTCAGTACAGCGACGAGTCCATCAAACTTTCTTATGACTTGGTGGTTTGTCTTCAGCATGGAATTTTGCACAAAAGCCGAACCGGCTTAGCAAGCGCCATTGACAAGCGTTTGTTTGCGAGAAATTTCTCGGCTGTTCATTTTGCGTTCCAACTGTGATGAACCCTGAGCGACGCTCGTTGAGCCTTCCTCCAGCCCAGCGGGTTCAAACCTGTGGAACCCTTGGTGGCATTTTGATCATGTAATAACATCACTGGCGGGTAGCTGGCAACGGTACCGTGTCCAGCTGCCGCAGCGAGCTCCAGCACAACATTCAGCTTCTTCAACAGCAGAAGTGGATGAACATCCAGTTGCGTTCATGGCTTGCTGACAAGCAAGGACAACTCGGATGGCGGGTCAACAGACGCAAAGTGATCTTCGCTTAGAATCAGTCTTAGACCCCCCCCTTTCAGATTGTTCCAACTTTGAGAGCACCGTCGTGGCTGTCATTTCCGGTCATATCTTCAGGTGCTGGCCGCTGGAAGGAGATATTCGAATCTGTGAACATGTTTCAGGTCTCTGCCATTGAATCGTATCTAAAAACTGCTTTCATCATTGCCTGTGCGCATGTCTTCGTCTGTTTTGCATTCATTTACATGACGAATGTCTTGTTTTTTAACGTAGATAAATAAAAGCCTGTTCAAGTAACATAACAAGCAAATGAAAATGGGAACAAAAAATACAAATATTACAGACAAACAAAGATGTTGTAGGCGAAATAATGCATAATATAATAATGAGCAGTCGATTCTTAAACGCTAAGATCTTTGATCGTGCTCCGCAATCATCAGTCTGAACTGGCAACTGAACTGCCAGTAGGCGGTTCAAAATCTTTGGCAGCCAATGACTCTGAATTTCAGTGGAACAAATACTTCACGTGCAAATAATCAGCACCTCTACCATACTTGAGACCTACCACAGCAGACTGAGATTTGGCAGCATGCTTGCTGGGAACATGCGCTCGCCACGTCACACTACTGTCACCGGCTTTCACTGAAGTTTACCAGTGGTTAATCCGCCCCGCCCTCTGGTATGGCGGTAACTTGACCGCGACCACTCGTTTCACAGCAAATCCGCATGTCTGATGAGTTTTGAGCTGTCTGCAACCAACAGAAGTGATGAACGGCGTATGTGATTCTGCCTTGCAAAGAATTAATCCAAGCGAACCATATTCTTTTCTCATTTCTTCCAGATGACGTATCTTCTTTTTGTTCTTTCCCTACTTCTTCCACTTCTAACTCTTCTCCCATTGCATCGAAGAAAGCGCTGGATGCTGTAGAAGCATTCTACCATAATCGAATAAATGTATGCTCGCTCTGTAGCCCCTTCGATGCCATGCCAGTTCCAATGAAAAGTACCTACCATATTGAAGGCGCTCCAGACGGCCGTCTGCCTTCATCCATTCGTTGGCAATGGCTCCACCTTTTTAAACACCTTATTTGCAACTACTTGCTCTTAGTTAGATATTTTAATCTCTCTCATACAGTCGCATTTGACATCAGACCGTTCGACTTCACCCCTGATATTTACCTGAAAATCTTCATTCCGTCCGTTTTCCTGTTTTCAGTTTTATTGATGTAGAATGTAGGCCGCAGCTTTCTGTCAGTGTTAACATCTTTATCCTGACAGAGTTTGAATAACTTGTTGCTCACTGCAATGCCAGCGCAAGGAGCATTTCAACTTCGTTTGTCATTCGTTCTTCTGCAGACAGTGTATTCTCATGAGAGAAAAGTTCTGGTCCCTTTTCCACAACTCCGGTATCAAGGGTTAGGCCGTGTTTGATCTAGGTCTTTCCAGTTTTCACCCTCTTCATATTCTTTATGTTAATCAGGAGGTTCAGGTCAGAACTCCTTTGTTTCAGAGTTGGGGACAACGATGTCAGAGGTTCAAAGTTGTTGGATAGCAATACGATATCATTCGCAAACGCAAGAGGGTTTTACGCAGACGTTGTCCTCTCTTGCCACAGTAGGCGCTTCGCCGTGTTTTCATAACTGGCGCAGTCAACTAAGAAACATCGTAAACGGTAATGCAGATTCTATTCGTCCTTGCCGCGCTCGAAACTTTGTACAAAAATATCTGCCATCATTTGACACTGCACTTGATGAGAGATCATGCATCTGTTCAATCATGCCAATAACCTTTAGTGAAATGACGTTATTCAGTAACATTCCACAAGGCATCTCTATAGATTGAGCCAAATGCTTTGGTGAAATCAGTAAATTCTGTATTGAACTTAGATCCCCATTCTCCTTTTTTTCTATTAGCTGCTTCACTGTGACCATATGGTCAAAAATTCCCCACCAGTCTTAAATCCTGACTTCTCCTGGATAGCCTCTTTCGCTATGAAAATTTGCATTCAGTTTTATTCATTCATGTTCATACGAAAATCTGTTTTAATGCACAATAAGTTCTTTTATTGAAATAAATGACGACATAAGTGCGCAAGGGAACGTAACACAAATGAGCCAAATTTCCCAGGTACTGACCGCCACTGCGTTTCGAAAAATCAAACACCGTCTACCTTCTCGCTTAAAGGGTAGTGGAAGTGACAAAATATTTAAACATAGTTTCTTTGGGAATTAATTAATTAATTTGTAGTCCCCAGACCTATTTTATGGGTCTGCAGTCAGGATTCTTTTTACTTGAGACAGAGATTTACTATAACGCATAAAAGTTTACCGCCTCAAATATTATTGCCTTGTTTCTGGGTCTATGACAGTTCATAATGACAAACTTAAAGGCTCAGGACTACACACTATACTGTATTTTATTATGTAAAGCGATTATATCTTTGTTCCCTACCCGTTCTTTGCGCTGAGGGCATCGACGTACGTACAATTTTAAAGGTTATAGAAATCTGTGGAAGGAAAAGTTTCAGAGCGACATTCACTCCAGCACACTTGCTCACGAAAGCTGAAGGCACTGACCAAGTGTCCTTTTCCTCTAGAGTCAATCTTAAACTAATTTAGCAAAACCAGTTAGATGAAAATTGCTGTTTCCAACAGAGAATTCACTTTCATGATTGCTGCCTTTTCTGTGTTTTATGTTCTCCGACATGAACCAACGGCTTCCAGTAACATTTAATCGTTTTGCCAGGCTTCTTTTACGCGAGATATCCATATTTTACTGTCAAGAAAAGGCTAGGGTACCAAGGCCCTGCGTATAAAACTGGCAAGACATTGAATTGGTTCAGCCGTTTGGCGGGACGCTGGAGCAGCAATGTCATCATGGCGACTGATGTGCTGACTCCTCTGACAGCGAATGCTCGATCAGTCGTGGACAAGATCGACAAATCTGGACTGATCACCGGAAGAGTAATGATATTCCTCCATGTGCTGTTCTTAGTCTACATCTATACCTTCAAGAAGACTTCGTCGATGCCGCTGTCAGCTTTCTGAAATACCATTTCTTTGGAAACAACAGAGAAAGTTTTCAGTTGTTCTGAACCATTTCTCCAAAAACGTCTAATGCTGGCTATAATTTAACATAAAATGCATCTGGTAACGTAACTGCATGTCTTTTAAAAATTTGGAATATTTCTATATGGCAGTAAATTCCCTGTGCCGGTGTCGACGGCAATCGAAATCACATACGCTAATGGGCTCTGATTGGTTGATTTGTCAGTTGATTTTCTACGCAAGATGTTGTCAGCACCTACAGTAAGCGCGTGGTCGATTTAGGGCTGTTCTCGTCTGATGATCAGATCAAAACCGATATCGTACAATCGTGATATGCATTTCCATGATTCTTCGCGCACGCAACGTTTTTCTAGTCATTTCGATCCTTTACATTTTGCGTCGAACTTTTATCAGAGATCATGCTGAACAGAGCCATCGGGCAAAAACTGCTGATCGATGGTTGGAGTTTTTTAGTGGTCAACTA